GCTCTAAGGATAGCTAGCGCGATAAAAAACTCCCTCCGGCCTGCGGGCCGCAGCCCCTGACCCAGACCGAAAAAGAAACGAGCATCTGCTAGCCGCGCCAGGCCGCCTTTGCGCTGCTAGACCACTACAGGAAGCACTCGAAGCAGCGCCTGCACAGGGTTCGCTTGCACTGGGATACTTTGCGTTGCTACGCCCATTCAAGTCGCATGAGGGCGACAACGGGGACGCGAGCACCGATGGGGGGGCGACCGACGAGGCGACAGGGCACAGGCAAGAAATGCAGGGCCCCTGCTTTCTTCGCCTGGCGGCGCTGACGCTCCTCCCTGAGCACGGCGGCAGCGCCCGGATGGCCCTTGAAACGATAAAGGGGGGGGCAGGAGGAGGAAGAGAATGAAGAGGAGGAGGAGGAAGAGAAACAACAAACAAAAACAGACGTGGACGTGCACGGAAAGGGGGAAGGCAAACAAACAACCGCACGAGGGGCCGAAGGTTGGGGGCGTCGGCGTCGGTGCCAGGACAGCGCCGACGTCGGCGGCATCTAAAGAACGGGCAAAACAATTATGGTCATGGCGCTGCTCATCCACGGTGCTCAAACAATCCCGCAAGCCGGAGACGTCCCCACGTCGAGGGCCGCTGTAAATTCCGGATATACTCCGCAAGAACTTCACGTTCACGGTTTGGAAAAAGGCCGTCGAAATAATATCGGCGTCGAACGAACCCGCGCCGCGTTAACCTGTCAAAACTGTTTTTCTCCTCCTTCTCCGCCTTTCTTCGTCCGCCTCATCCCGAACCCCTGGAAGGCCTTAGAATCCACTGGGATCTGAATGACTTTTTAGAAGAATAGAAAAGAAACGGTCGGAAGTTTGTAAGCCCTGAGGCTGATGTAGAAACATATCAGATTTGTCCTTTACGCAGTAGTAGCCAGGATCATGTAGTGATGCTGGTTAATCATATCCTAATATCGACGAAAAAGAGCCTGAGCGGTCGCGAATGCGCTCGCTCCTGCTTTGCCTCAGTTCGATATCGCGGCGGGAAATCCAAGTCGGGGGGGGAGGAGATAGAAGCGCGTCGCAACGACTAGGCTTAAGGCGCGACTCCAGATTTATACATTGAATCCAGAGTCGCTATGGATGTCTACCTGGTCCGCTGGTGTCAAAGCTGGGTGCATAAGTTTCTTAGAACAACATCGTGGCTTTCTGGCAACCGCGTTCAAGCTCCGAACCTGAATGTTCGTAGGTTCCTGTGCTCGTTGGGGTGAAACGACGTCGACAGTGAGCCGCGCCTGTGTGATGAGAGCATATGCCGGTGCACCCTCAGACTGATGAACATGTCTGCCACCGTCTTGGTGGCTTTCTCCTCGGGCGTCGCTCCCGTTAGATCGGGATGCTGCTGGATGGTTCCCAACTGTTTGACGTATTCATCTTGGTCCATGGTGACGTCGCCGTCCGGGAGTTTGGTGCAACGTGCAGCGCAATTGGTATATGTATGCTTGTTCAGCGTACATGTACCAAATGTCTTTTCTAAGCATCCTACGTGCTTGTCGATGCGGTTTTCCTCGCCGGCAATGTTTATGACGTCGACATATATGACCGTTGTTAGGGCTGGGCTCACTTCGAACTTTTCGTCGTATTTGGTGCCTTCGAGCGCGAGTCCCCTCGTGATGCCCCCGAGCTCGAGTGAGAATGCTTGAGGGGCATCCTTGGTGACAGTGCCGGGCTTCGGGCACTGGAGATTACTATTTGCTTCGTCAATATTGGCAAAGCCTGGTGATGTTCGGGGCGCCGGTGCGGAGCCTGGAGGGAGCGTGAAACGCGGTGGTCTCTCCTCTTCTCCAGCGGCTGCTACCGGTTTCTTATAATTTAGGCCTTTGAAGAAGGCTTTGTCAATATCTAAGGATGTGGGTATCCAACCATTCTTGTGAGCTGCCGTGCTGGCTAGGAGCTTCTGGTTAGCTCGCCTTGCCGTGCCCGAGCAGGCATCGACGTCGAAGGCCTCGACGTCAATGGAACCTCGCGCTGCGAGCCCGAGGCGCTTCGCGCGCCCCATCTTGCCTGTTCCGTTCTTGACGAATTCCCATGTATATGCAGATCTCGATGTTATGACGCTTGTAGCATCTGCGAGTGGGCGCGCGCGAAGGTTGTTGTCGTGCCAAATACGTAGCTCAACGTAAGGAGCTTTTGATACCTTCGCGAGATTTGCCGGGATATTGGCCTCCACCAGTAGGTCGTCTTCCTTTGCGACTACAGCGTGTTTGGAAGATGTGGTTGCGTATGTTCTTATCGTGGCTGTGTCCGCGTCTCGTACTAGCTGCTGTTGTTGTTCTGAGTGTAACCTTTGCCATGTCCGTTGTGAAACCTGGTTCCACAGATTCTCCATGCCAATCGAAATCCAGCGTATAGCTGGTGTCGTACTCGCACAATTATACGGTTTCGCACGCGATTACATCTCCCCCTGTGGCCCGTTGCCAGGCCCCTGAGACAAGTTACTTTGCTCCTCAGACGTGGAGATCAGGGCGCATTCGTTCGTTAGGCGCAGCGTACAGAGCTGGCCCGCAATGGCTGCCCAGAGGTTCTTCGCGTTGTAGCGGTATTTCTGCCGGAAGCTCGTCGTGCCACTCCTCCATGATGTGCGCGTCCAGATCTTCCTCAATCTCCTGCTGGATCGTGGGAAGTCGTCCTGCATCTGGGCAAATGGCGGGAATTTCGGGATCGTTACCCGGTGGTCGATCTTCTTGGCTGTTTCCCGTCCCGCCATCGGTCGCTTCTTGCAATTTGGAAAGGCCTTCATCAAATCCAGCTAGGGGTTCGGTTGACGGATTATCCCGGGCCGATTGCCGCCAATAATGTCCTGAATGTTTAAGGCAGTTCCGCTTGCTTGGTGATACTTGAGTCCTGGATTCACGTCGTTGCGTAATGTATGAGTGCACTGCTGTCGGCATGAACGAATTGTGGTAGCTTCTCTGCAATCTTAGCGAGGCGTGCTTGATATACATTTCCAATGCTGACATTAGTTCTGGATGAGGCACTGTAGTGCAAGATGTACTTTTCGACGCTTTTATGCATCCAGCAATCATTCGCAAGTTGCTTCGCGAATCGGGGATGTACCCGGATGCCCAGCCGACAAAACAGCGATGAATGTGACCACTGCGCGCATGGCAGCGCTGTCAGAACCAAGTTCACGTGCCACGAGGGCTCCGATTTACAGCGTGTGCCGGGCGTCGGGGTATTGTAATGCAGTTTCCGTAATTAGTACCCATTTGTGCTATTAGTTGTCCTCGGTCAGGTATATTGCGCAATGCAGGGGATGGTTCATTTTATCCTTCCCAGTCGTCCTTGTTTGCTGTAGGTCGGTGGTAGTCAACTAGGTCTCCAGGTTTGTAATGATGCTGCCCAGCTCGTTGCGTAATCGTTTTCAGAGCGCGGTTGGCTTTCGCCACTGCAGTTGCCTGCGTGATAGCCTCTATGCTTACTTGGCGTGCTTGTTGTTCCCTGCTGTGATCAGGCGTTTCCGTCGGGGTGTCCTGATCAAGAATGTTGAGATCAAGTAATCAAGCAGGTTGACGTCCAAGTGAGCCGTTGCATGGTGATGCGCCGTTGTAGAAAGTAAACATGTTGATCGCGAGAAAGGCTTCTGTAAGGAGTCCTTCCGGCAAGGTCGGGCCAGAGATGCCGGAGCCCTGTTACAGGGCCCCAGGACGGGCCAAGAGGTCCCCAAGAAGCCTCCAAGACGGTCCAAGAGGGCCCCGAGACGGCCAAAGATCGCCCGAAGACGCCCAACAGGGCCCCAAGACAGCCCAAGAGGCCTCCAAGACGCCCCAAGGGCCTTCCAAGAGGCCTCCGAAGAGGGCCCCAAGAGGCCACAATCGTTGATTTTCATTGTTTTTTTTGATGTTTTTTGCGTTCTGGCTTTCTCGGCTTCCGGGCGCTCCAAGACGGCCCAAGAGGCCCCCAAGACCGCTCCAAGACGGCCTACGAGGCTCCCAAGACGGCCCCGGAACGGCCCAGGAGGGCCCCCAAGACGGCCCAAATGCCGCCCAAGACGGACCAAGAGGCCCCAAGACGGGCCCAAGAGGGGCTCAAGAGGAGAACCGAGAACTGAAAAATCGAGCCCTCCGCCCAAGAAGGCGCCCAGGAGGCCCCAAAAAGGCCCCAAGAGGCCCCCAAGAGGCCCCCAAGACGCCCCAAGAGGCGCCCAAGAGGCCCAAAAGAGGCCCCAAGAGGCCCAAAAACGGCCCCCAAGAGGCCCCCAAACTCGGCTAGCCCACAACGGTGCGACAATATGAGCCGGCGGAATGAGCGAAGCGACTAAATAAACATGTTGATCGCGAGAAAGACTTCTGTAAGGAGTCCTTTGTGAATTGTTCTGGTATATCCCTGTTCTTCAAATCCTTTTCCATGATGTGCATCGTGCCGCGTCGGTGACCATTCCTAGCTCCGGTGGCGGTTGCGCGTTGGCCAGGAATTCGCATGCGAAGTTCAGCGCCTTTCTCCTTCAATGCTGATTTCACCGTGTCATTGTTTACGGAGTAGAAGGCCTTTGCTGGCTCGCAGATGCCCCGGCAGTAATGCTAGGCATCTCGAGTGTGCATGGCCCGGTCAGGAATCACCTGTCCAGCGCTCCACCTGATGCAGCGATCGCAGATATGGAAGATGGCACGGTTTCTGTAGAGCATGAGGTCGCATTCCACTTCATCGTTGAAGCGGCCCGGCAGGCTCACTGACGGCGCGGTGGAGTTTCCAGGTTTCTCCCGCGCCCGACGCTCTCTGCAGGTGTCGCAGACCTCTTTTACAATGCCGAGTCGAACAGTGTCGAGGCCGACCTCTGATAGGCTCAGCCTCATTTTGGGTTCCTCTGCGTGGTGCCAGCGGGAGTGTAATTTGCGTAGTTCACCTCGGACAACTGATGGATCATGGCTCCCCAGGTTTCGTAGACTCATTTGGACGTTGAATCTGGTCCAGTCTCGGAGCTGTGGAGGCCTCAACGGTATCCGCGTCGCCGTGGGTCCTCAGGTGGTGTCGCGGCTCCTTGTGCTCTACCGCGGCTACCCCTTGCCTTCGAGACTCGTTCAGAGTCAAGCGCGTCTCCGCCCGAACGCATAGGTTCGCGTCGCGCGGCTGGTCGTGGTGCTTGTGTTTGTGCGTCATGTTGGCCCGAAGGTGCTGTTGGTGCGTCCCCGCTGCTACCAGAGCCTGAAGGTGTTTGTGCTGGTGCCTGCGCTGGCTGTCCTGCCGACGGCGGTGCTCGTGGGTTTGCGCCACCGTCTGGTGGTAGTTCGCAAGGCGCGGCGAACCTGCATTTGCCAGGAATAGGCAAATGTCCTAGCCTATTGCGTCCGTAATGTTTATTGCAGGCTAAACGTTCCCCATGCATGACGGACTTGTCGTGCCAGCGGCAGGTCGCGGGGTTTCGCGCATGCGTCGGGCTTGCCATGACAACATTATCTGCGCAAGCTGGGCATCCGAATTGTCCTGGTGGCGGTTTTCTGACTGCGCCAGCAACTGTTCTAGAGATCGTCGGGTCGTTGAAATCGTGCCCATTGCATGCATTGGGCAATGTTGGGTAGATCTGCGCGTCTCCGCGCTCATTTTCCAGCGCGTAGCCATGCGCGGCCGCATCTCGCATGAACGCACAGCTCGTGGGAATTCTGACTGCTTGCGATGGGTATAGAGCGCCGCTTTCGCTTGAGCTCTGTCGCAGACAAGTGCGTGGACATGCTCCCCGTCGCGTTTCAACGTTTCAATTTCCCGAAAGATTGGCACAAAACGGGGTCGTTAGCCAGGGCCCCAATCGGTTTCCTAATGTGAGCGCCGTCTGCCGTCTTAAGACCGATAGCATTGGACTATGATAAGATTTAACGCGCTAGGGCGCCCGACTACTTCTGTCCAAGGATGGATCTGGTCAGCCCAGGTGCCGGACGGCTGTTCTCTGATGTAATCTCTTCTGTGTTTGTCTTGGGCATAGGCTATAATGCAACAAGCTGTGATTTGTGGCAAATCTTCCCGACGGTGTCGTAGCCAAGTGTCGTGGTTGCCTTCGGCATTTAAATAAGATGACAATCCGATGGCTCTTCATTTGGACTGCAAAATAAGTGTTTCCACGCGACAGTTATGTACATCGTGTAGTACCATTCCCAATATTTTGTCATTGCCCAGGTCGACGTGAGTCCCTTTATCTAGGTTCCCTCCCGAAGTTTGGCCACGCCTGAAGGCCAACTTGGCGACGCCGCCTTCCCCGCCACAGAATTCCAACATATCCGCGCAATCATTTGATCCGTAGCACAATGTCAGTACCATGGAATAGATGTCTGCCTCTGTGTCGGATGGTGCCCGTGTCGGAATGGAAAGGTAGTTGTTTTCGTCTGGTTCCACTTTCTCAATAAGTGCATCCGCACTTTGGTGGGTGGCGCTTGCGTCCAAACCTGATCCTTTCAAGTCGTCTCCGCAGTCGTCGTTTCCGGAAGTCCACGTGCTTCTTGATTTTGTGGTTTTATCCCTGCTTCCTCCTCTGCTTTGAATGTATCGTTTCGCGAAATCCGGGCTTCGGTGAAGAACTCAGGATCTTCTGGCTGCCAATGCAGTCGCGTTGACGTGCTGCGTGCGCCTGTCGGTAATGCTGCATGCCAGTCGCATCCCGTCGGTTGATCTTTGACATTGATGTTTTGCACCACGGTATCTTTATCCGCGTCAGCCGTCGCCTGTCGCACCACTGTATCCCATTTGGGTCCATTCGGAGTTGTCGCCGCGTAGTGCCTAACGCTTTTGTCGGCGCGGGTATGGGTGATTACATGCGTGGCCGATTGTCGTTTAGAGCCGCTCGCGATGTTCGGACATATCTGCTCCAACAGTCGTGCAGCGCGCGCCTTGCGTGCATGAGCGCCATTCAGCTTGTTACTGTGTGTGTGGCCATACCGGCCAAGTGCGTGCACATTCGTGACTGTTGTACATTTGCACTGTCACATCTGCATAGGAATTGTGTATGCTGTGACAACTTGTCTGTAATATCCATCCAGCGTTGGACTATGCGCATCGCGTGTCAGTCCAAGGCTGCATAGGCGCATGCGTGCCACATGTGGGTGCAAATCCTTCATGGTGTCACGCATAGGTGTAATGTGCCACATATCCGCGAGGGCCCAACATGACCATGTGCATCTTGAGGGCTCTACCCGTGACAACAAGATTGCGCATTCTACCCCAATGGGGCCCAGCACGCTTGCTGGGGGTGCGAACGCGCCAGTCCGCAGGGGTCGATGTCCAAGCAGGGCCATGGTCGCCTGCATGGTAGCCGCCCAGATACAACGTGCCCTGTGCTGAAAGGATCTCCCGATGCATGATGCAATCGCGCAAGAATCCTCGATGGCGGAGAATGGCGGTTGCCTGTCGCTGATCCTCAGCAAGGAAAGCTCTGGAATGAAATTGCGCGCGCGTATCCGCGTTCTCTGTAGGCCCCTGCGTCAGCAGGGCAGGCGCGGGCCACTCGCCGCCCTGCCCTCCCTAATCACCTATGTAATGATGTGCATCAGCCCGGCCAGCGTCCTCGTCATGTCCAGCTTGGGACCTGGTCTCCACGGCGCGGTGCTTGATGTTCTCGTCGAGCTGCTGCGCCAAGGTGCGGCTGAAATCATCATCATCATCATCATAAGTTGCCGTGCCCTCGATCGTGGGAGGTCGAAGCCGCTGTCGGGGTTTCGGTGCTGGCCTCCGCACGTGGCCGCGCGTTCCATCCTCCGCGCGGAATGCGGAAGTGCCTGGATATAGACTTCTCCATATTCATTACCGTCGCACCCTTGCCCAAGCGTAGCTTGTAGGGCTCGTTGCCGGGCATTCTCGGCACCTCTTCGCCGCGCTCGAATAGGATGATGGCCTTCTTATCTCGGGCCGATTCCAGACCGAAGATAGAAGGTGCATCAATGCACGGCCAATTGTGATGCTGGCTGAGTACGTATCATCCTGAATCTTGTCCTGATACGACCGCGCTATCGGGGGGCGCCGTGGGCGTCGCATGGTGCGCTCCCCCCCCAGGTCCGTTGACGCTAAGGCGTGGGCGCGCAGCGCTGGTGGATGCCATGCCCGCCCGCTCGGAGGGCATGCGATCGTGCTCCAGGCTGCTGCGTTGGCGCCCACTACATTTATCTTGAAGCCGAGGTCAGGCACCAGGCTGGTCCTGCCACCCGATAGCCTGGTCCTCTGGGGCTGCTTCGCCAGCGCATGGACGTCGGCGCATTCGCCGTCTCTGCGTTCAGATTCAGACATATCCTCATGCATGTTGCGCCATGCCTTCTCATATAACCAGTGTGCGCTGGTAAGCTCATCCGCGTTCTGCCACTTCTGCGCCTCATCCTCAATGTTTGATGCGCTCGTGAAGTGGTCGCGCGCTTCCTCAGGCCGCGTGGGTGGGGCGCGTCGATTGCCATCAATTGATCATCGGTGCCGTTGCCTCCTCCGACGCCTGCGCCTGCGACCTTGCGCTGCGCGGGCTGCGGCGGCTTGCGGGGCGTCGCCTCGTATGCCTTCGCCCATGCCCGTTGCCAGGCGGACTGCTGCACTCAGAGCGCCTGCCCGTGCGCGCTCCAAGCGGTCCGGTAGTGGATGACTGCCTGCGGTGATCGGGCCCGCGGGATCTTCAGGACGGGATCCCTGAGGTGGTTCTGCAGTCGGGCGTGGCAGCAGCGCTGGATCGCCATGCGTGCTCGAAGAGACGCCCGTAGCCGAGCTGCGGTGCATTGATGCAGCGATCTGTTCCAACTCGTTTCGCAGCTGTCCGAGCTCAGCTATCGACGCATACGTAGTGTGAGCATTGCCAGGGCTGTATCTAACAGTGCTGTGTCCAACATGCCCATCAACTGCAATAGAAAGACCTGGCCCACGACAGATAGCGCATGCCGGTTCCACCGGCGCGTCCACCCTCTGATTCCTTACGTGCGCGCGTGCCATGCTGCCCCAGCACGAACAATTGAATTGGTGGTTGCACTGAACCTCCGCACTTCGGTGCCCAGTGTGAGTGCGTCCAAAGATATCGCGCAATGCTGGAAACTCACGTCCACAAACAACGGCGGTGACACCGTCGGGCGTGTCTGCCGCTGACGTTCCAAAACCGATTCGTTTGGCAAGAAGTCAGGCGGCGCCGGCGTGCGCGTCCGTGCCGTGTTTGGATGTGATGCTACTGGGGTCTATGCCTCCGCAAGCGTGTTGCCGCGCTGGCTGTTTCTCCTCGCCTGCAGCATGTGCTGCTGCCACACCTCGTTACTGCCCTGGAAGATGCACTTCCTCCGTCGCAATGCGGGCGCATTCAATATTTACCGCGCTGTTTTGACAGGGACGCCCGTCACACATGCGACGGCATTCTGGAAACATCTGAGTATCCATGGACGTTAGAGGCCGGTCCTGTAGAGTCAGGTAGTTCGGGCGTGCAGCGAAGGCAAGGATGAATGGGGCCGTTCATTCCCGCACCTCTGGCGACTGGGACTCTGGTGGCCACTCCCAAGGAGATCGCCATGTGTTAGCACTCCTCGCCGTGAGTTCCAGTGCCAGAACTTCGCCAATAATGCGTCGCCGCTGCTGCTCCACGAACGTCCCTTGTGCGCCTATCGGACGCTGCCGTGCGCCACCGTCGCCGCCCCCCTTACCATGGCCCTTTGGAGGCGCTTGGTCAAGGCGTCGATAGTAGCCTGGAGGAGGCTGGTCGCGGTAGGCAGCCTCTATCGCCCGCTGGACCCTGAAGGGGCGTGGCGCGCCGAGGTCGATGGTAAGTCCTAGCGCTGCTCGGAGCTCAGGCTGTCGCCTCACGCCCTCCACACTGCGGGCAATATCCCTGGCGGATATGCCTGGGGCCTCTGACGGCGGTCAGCCGAACGGCGGTGTCGTTGGCGTTGTTGCATTGCTGTGTGCCGAGCTCCACTGGAATGAATCGCGCGTTTCAGATGTGTGCGACTGGTCGTTGGGCTGGCGCGGTGCCGCGCTTGAGTGTTGCAACTGTCATGGCTGCTGCTGTGGCCCACGGGTCATGTTGCTGGAATATATCCGCCCGTCGATTCCGATCTTCAGGCGTGAGCTCGGCGATGCTTGCAAGTGCAGGCGTAGTCCACGTCTGCTCGGACTGTCCGTCGCCTGGCTCTTGCGGGCCTCCCTTCTCTCGGGTGTCCATCATCTGCGCATCTTCGGTAGGATACTTTGGCTCCAAGATTGCAGTGATGTCGTCTGGGGCGCCCTTGATGTAGCCAAATTGGTGCACGGGGGCGGCCCAGTCCTTTGAGTCGTTGAGCTCAATCCATGAGACCTGGGCATCCTACTCTATCGAATCACAGATAGGGTTGTACCAGATTTTGCCCGGGGAAAAGGGGCCCGCCAAGCACGCCGAGTGCGTGGTGTGCGTCGGAGAAGTAACGCCGTTGTAACCGTCGCACAGCGGCGCGTGGTTCTCCGATTCCCAAATTCGATGGTTGTCCCCCAGTAGCCTCGGGGCCGACATGAACGCGCAAATTTCGGCGTCGGGGCGCGCACCAGAGCGAATGCGAGGAACGAGCGGCGCATGCGGACATCCATGTGCACATTGGCGGCTGTTTCGAAGCTTCTTGGTGTTGTGCTCGCCTCTGCAGGACAGTCCAATTGACGCTGTGGATGGCATTGCCGCCCAAGTAGTTCCGCGTGCAATCGCCTCTGGCAGGTCTCCCCGCGGACGCTTCTGGACCTCTCGCCCGTTGGTGGCCCGGATGCAGAGCATGGGGGGGGGGGGGGGTCGCCTCCGTCGATGGCGTAGTTGAACATGACCTGGAGGCGGCCCTTTTTGACCCTTCCTGTCCACCATCCGGGAGATGGCGCCGCCTTTGCAAGGGCCCCTGCAGGCAAGTCGGCTACGCCAATGGCCTGGCCCGATGTGGGCGATGCGCGCGCGGGCCGTATTCCCGCAGGTGGTGCCTTGGCTGGTGGCCCTGCTGACCGATATGCCATGCCATTTACCTGGCCGGAAGATGATGCTGTACCTGTGCCCGATGCCCGGCGCGACCCCGCTCTAGGTGGAGGTGGAATGCGAACGCTTGGGGTCCAACTGCAGACCCTGCGAGGTAGAGGTTCGCGCCGTCGTGGCCTCCCGCGGCCGGGGGGCAGACGCGCCGACCTCGTGGGCCACGGCTCGCGCGGCGACGCTCGAGGTCCTCCTCGTCGAATGTGGCTGCGCGCGATTCGCTGGAACATCTGGTCGCTGACGCGGCCCAGATGGCCTCGAAGCCCTGGCCCTCTCCTTCGAGATTTTCAAAAGTAACTGTCTCTCAGCGACGTTGTCCTCGAACATTTCCCAGCGCGTCGGATGCGCTTGCTTCCGGCCTGAATCGGGCGACGCAGTGTCTGGCGCATTGCCGCCGCAATCTTCGTCTGAGAGGTGTCTGGGCGACGATCCGCGAAGGAGACCGGGGCGGACTGGCCTTCGCCTTGGGGAGACGTCCTCTCTTCCAATGACTTGTCTGCGTCTGGCGCGTCCTCGTTCTCCCCGAGCCCGGCGGTCATTGCCGCCGCCCTCTCCTAGGCCCTAGGCCTCCTTCTGGTCCAGAAGCGATTGAGCCTTCAGCTGGCGAGCGGTTTCTCTGCGAATATCCTCGCTTTCTTCGTCCGTTTTGCGAGTTGCCTCTCGTCGCTCGTCCTCCTCCGACTTCTGGTGCAGGTTCTTGGCCGCGTGATCCATCCTCTCCTTCATCTGATCGTTTCTAGTTGGAACTTCATCGCAGTGAATGAGAGCCAGGCTGGCGCCTTCCTGGTCGCGTCGTCGTTGTTGTTTGGCAGGCGGGGGCGGGGCCTCGCCCGCGCTTCTCGCCCGTCTCGCGGCTTCCCTGACAGCTCGCTCGGGGGCCATCAGTAGCGCGAGACGAGGAACTTCGCGGCGTCCTGCGCGCTGGCTGACATTCAACTCTGTCTCAGCCTCCGCGCGCGTCCGCGCCGGCCCCCTCGGGCGCGCCCGCTCGTGGCCAGGGTCGCGCGGCGGTCGCGCCGTGGGGCGGTGGGTCCCCGGCCGATGGTCACCGGGTAGTGCCTCGTATATAGCGTTGGCGTGCTCGGCGCCCGCTAGCGAGCGCGGCGCGACTTCGGCGGGGGATCGCCGCCCGCCCCTCTCCGTGCCCGCGGCGCGCAATCCCGCCAGCGATCCTCGTCGCGTCGTTGTCTTGGGCCTGTGTTGCGGGCTCGTGGCCCGATCTGCGGGCCCTGCCCTCGCCTTCCATGCCCGCGCAGCGCTTCGCGACATCGTCGTCCAGGCATGCGCCGCCAGGGCGGGGCTGTCGTAGTGCTTGCTCTGGCGGGAGATAATGGGATGTTGAGGGGCCTGCGGGTCTCCCGATATGATTGGGTAGACAATGCCGTCGCTGGATGGGGTGCCAATAGTCTGTGGTTCCAGCTCATCGCCGAGCATCGCGTCGACCTCCTCCTGGGCGGCCGGCACGGGCGACGCTTGAGACGACGGAGGAATACATGGCGAGTCGCATTGTATCACGTGCTCGACGCTCTCCAACGCGTCGCCGCGTTCCTGCTCGATGCCGAGCTCCTGGGGAATTTTGCGAAATCCTGCCCATGGTTCAGACGTCGTGGGCATCTGGAAATATGGGATTAGCGAGTCGTAAAAATTCCGCGCGAACTCCTCAAAACTGTTAGAAACATCGGTGTAAGAAGAAATCATAGACGAATGAGCTGGTTAGCTCTCTGCGAAGAGATTGTCGCAATCAGCGTGCCCTAAAGAAGCTTGGCCAAAATGTGCTGCATCATCCCCATCTCCCTTTCGTTCCCCTTTGGTGCGCTGCGCTGCAAGGTGGTTGGGTGAAGCGCGTGTTTTGCGCGACATGCGACGGCCATCATCACCGATGGCGTTTCGTTTTCTACCTTTGCCTTTGCCGGTGGCGCGACGACCTCTGCTCCGGCCTTCGCCTCCGAAGAAATCATCGTCGTTAGATGGGGGTGCTATGAATGCAGCGATGCCCTTGGCGTGTAACCTTGTCCTATGTCTAAATTTACCCTTTAATCCGCCCTTTGGTGCATGGCGTACTCTACGCACGCGCCGCGCAGGCTTCTTCATGAACCTCCTCCACCTCCTCTTAGCATGACGGGTGACAAGATACAGGGAATCAGCTTGTCTATGAACCCTACTCCTTCTGTAATTCTGCGTCAGTATCTGTGCCAGAGTCGAAAGTTGTGGCGCGTTCGCCCTGGCCATCTTGGCCCCAGAAAGGTGGTGGTAGGCATGCTGGGTTAGTGGATGGTGTCCAGGCCCAGTCTTCGCTGGCAGCTGCCTGGCTGGCAGCCGCCTGGCCGGCGAGAAGGGCTGTCTTCAGTAGGGGTGTCTGACCGTATGTTGTGGCCAGTGGTCGTTCCAACGCCGCTGCCGCTGAGGAGTGCGAAGTCTGATTGGACGTTATTGTCGTGTGGTGCGTTGCCGCGCCCTCGTCCAAAAGCGCCGCCACGTTCCCAGGAGATTTGTTCGGCAACATGGCCGAATGATCGCATGCGCTCAAGTAGTGCGTGATGCTCTGCTTGGGTCCTGAACATTTTGGTGGTTTCGTGGCTATAGCATCTGGGATGCTCGTGCAGTCCCCATTTGAAGAGCACGAAGCAAAATCGTGGTTATGATCTGGACGTTGGGGATGCAGAATCCGACAGATTGCGCGTCTACCTTGGCCATCTTAAACCTAGCCACTGTCGCAACGATCCGTTCTCCTGCAGGCACGGTGGAGTCGATTAGTCGTGTGCCCGAGTCGAGTTGACGTTCGTCTGCGAGATGATCAAACTTACCACTCAATATGTACGTGATGTATGGTAGTGGATCGGTTCTAACACCGTTGATATATACAGCGTGGTTAATGATGTGTGATGGTATGCGAATTGCTATGATTCGTGCCAGTCCTGAGAAGGCCTGCTGGGCATCTGGGAATATGGCATTCGCGAGTCGTAGAAATTCCGCGCGAACTCCTCAAAACTGTTAGAAACATCGGTGTAAGAAGAAATCATCGACGAATGAGCTGGTTAGCTCTCTGCGAAGAGTTTGTCGCAATCAGCGTACCTAAAGAAGCTGGGCCAACATGTACTGCATCATCCCCATCTCCCTTTCCTTTCCCTTTGGTGCGCTGCGCTGCAAGGTGGTTGGGTGAAGCGCGTGTTTTGCACGACGTGCGACGGCCATCATCACCGATGGCGTTTCGTTTTCTACCTTTGCCCTTACCGGTGGCGCGACGACCTCTGCTCCGGCCTTCGCCTCCGAAGAAATCATCGTCGTTAGATGGGGGTGCTATGAATGCAGCGATGCCCTTGGCGTGTAACCTTTCCCTATGTCTAAATTTACCCTTTAATCCGCCCCTTGGTGCATAGCGTACTCTACGCACGCGCCGCACAGGCTTCTTCATGAACCTCCTCCACCTCCTCTTAGCATGACGGGTGACAAAATACAGGAAATCAGCTTGTCTATGAACCCTACTCCTTCTGGCAATTCTGCGTTAGTATCTGTACCAGAGTCGAAAGTTGTGGCGCGTTCGCCCTGGCCATCTTGGCCCCAGAAAGGTGGTGGTAGGTATGCTGGGTTAGTGGATGGTGTCCAGGCCCAGTCTTCGCTGGCAGCTGCCTGGCTGGCAGCCGCCTGGCCGGCGAGAAGGGCTGTCTTCAGTAGGGGTGTCTGACCATATGTTGTGGCCAGTGGTCGTTCCAGCGCCGCTGCCGCTGAGGAGTGCGTAGTCTGATTGGACGTTATTGTAGTGTGGTGCGTTGCCGCGCCCTCGTCCAAAAGCGCCGCCCACGTTCCCAGGAGATTTTTCGGCAACATGGCCGAATGATCGCATGCGCTCAAGTAGTGCGTGATGCTCTACATGGGTCCTGAACATTTTGGTGGTTTCGTGGCTGTAGCATCTGGGATGCTCGTGCAGTCCCCATTTGAAGAGCACGAAACAAAATCGTGGTTATGATCTGGACGTTGGGGATACTGAATCCGACAGATTGCGCGTCCACCTTGGCCATCTTAAACCTAGCCACTGTCGCAACGATCCGTTCTCCTGCAGGCACGGTGGAGTCGATTAGTCGTGTGCCCGAGTCGAGTTGACGTTCGTCTTCGAGATGATCAAACTTACCACTCAAAATGTACGTGATGTATGGTATTGGATCGGTTCTAACACCGTTGATATATACAGCGTGGTTAATGATGTGTGATGGTATGCGAATTGCTATGATTCGTGCCAGTCCTGAGAAGGCCTGCTTGGATGGCGGCCGCTTGTTGCTGTGGTGTAAAGCGGCCGCTGCTAACGTTGAGCCGCGCGTGGACCTCTTGTACGCAGGTTCTGAAATGTACGCTGCCCGCAGGAGTCCCGGTGAGGTCCTCTAGTAAGCGTGGCGCCATCTGCAGCACGCTGCATGTGACCTACAGTAATCGCCCAAACAACCCATATGATGAGGAAAATGGTGATCTTAAGATGGTGCCCGAAGGCGCCTGGCTCCTTTGGTTGTTATTGTTTCTGTGGGTGGTGGTCGTCCTTGAGATGTCGTAGTGGTGCTGGCTGCATGTATCCATGCCTAGACTAGTGGTTAAGTGGTAGGTCGATTGCCAGGCTGAGTGTGCGCTTTGCGCGGAACGTAATGACGTAGAACCGTGCTGTGTATATATGTATACATATGACCGAAGTAAGTAAGTAAGTAAGTTGCTAGTGGAACACCTCGGCGTGCTGGTATCGCCTGATCCACTGCTGGATACCAATTCGTTGCTGAGCATTGCCCGGTTGCAGCGTTGTACATGCCAGCTTTCCGGCTCTGTTCCCCGAAGGGACGTCGGCGCATGGTAGTCCAGATCGGTAATCGAAATAGTGCCGTGGAACAGTTGCAAGCAACAGAGCTAGCCACACAAGTGTGTAACCAGCTCCGCTACCAAATGGAAAAGAAGCCATCGGAAGATGGTAAACCGTGAGGCTGATGTAGAAATATTTAGAAGCGCATAAGACCTCTTCCTCTACGCAATAGTCGCTAAGATCATATAGTGAGACTTGCTAACCATATCTTGGCGTCGGTACCCTGAACCAGAACGGCCGCGGATGCGCTCGCTCCTGCTTTGCCTCCGCTCGCTATCACGGTGGGAGATCCAGTTAAAGTAGAAGTGCCGAACTCGCCATCGCGCAATCTGATCCTTCCCCCCTCCTCCCCTTCACCTACCCTCCTCATCATCCCCCGCCTCCTCCTGCTCCTGCTCCTGCTCCTCCTCCTCCTCCTGCTTGGATCTCTCTTCTTTGTCCCCTCTTCTTCTTCTTCATCACCATGATCATCACCATCACCATCATCACCACCATCATCATCATCACCATCATAAATCATCATCCCCGCCACCATCAGCATCAACATCATCTCAATCAGCATCACCATCATCATCACCACCACCATCATAATCATCATCATCATCATCATCATCATCATCATCATCATCCACATCAGCATCACCATCACCGCCACCATCAACATCATCCTAATCACCGCCATCCTCCTCCTCGTCGTCACTATCGTCATTGTCATCATCATCACATTCCTCATCATCGTCATCATCATCATCATCGCCGTCGTGATCGTCATCATCGTCATCATCATCATCATCGTCATCGCCATCGAAAGCATCATCATCACCATTACCACCATCATCACCACCATCGCCACCACCACCATCATCATCAGCATCATCATAATCTAATCTGATCTAATCATCATCATCATCATCATCATCATCATCATCATCATCATCATCATCATCATCATCATCATCATCATCATCATCATCATCATCATCATCATGATCACACTCATCATCACCACCACCGTCATCATCATTATCACCATCATCGTCATTATCATCATCATCGGCAGCATCTTCAGCTTCTTATCATGACTATAAGAACTCAGAACTCAATAGAAGATGCGCGGGTCGGTTTTCCCAACTAACTGCCGAACAAAGTGAGACTCTTGTCAGTGAACGTGAATCTGGACTCGACCTCCTGGGAGGAGGAGGAGGACGAGGAGGCTCTTGCGGCGCTCGGGTGAACTGACAAAAGGGTCAGCTGCCCCAACTCGCTCGCCACCCCGATGCGGAGGCCCCCGACGGACATCCCTGAGCGGATGAGGCCGCGGGGCAGGGCTGATATCCCTCACGTTGGGATCGCACTGGGCGGCGCTGTAATCAGGTCGGCATTCCATATGGTGCGCAAGACCCTTCAGGGCGGAGAGAGAGAGAGAGAGAGAGAGAGTGAAGGAGGGGATGAGTGAGAAGGGGGGGAGGGAAAGGGTACCACTCTTCCCTCTGTGCTGGCTGGACTTCAGAATCGCCGCTGTAGCCGGGCTGGCGGGGACATTCGCGTTGAATGCCAACTCGCCGCGCTTAGGTTTAATGGTTCAATAGGCCGAATTCCCTGTGCCAGGCCGCAGACCTTCAGGGCTCCTGCAGCGGATTCATCTCCGTGCTCCTGACCAGAGCCTCGAACACAGTCTCGAAGCATCCAGCCAATCCGCACGACGCGCTGGTCCAAGCGGGCTCGGGGCCGTCAACAGAAACTGCCCGCGACGAAAAACTGGTCATGGGGATGGGGCCGAGAGTTCTGGGGACCAAACTGGCTGCACGGGAGAGTGGCCCCAGGCAGGAGTGACCTCTGGAGCTGGGGGGGCAACTGTGGGCCCGCACCTAAGGCTCCTTCGCGTAACTGGCCCGCTCCTAAAGCAAAAGCATGAAGTGAGAGGCCCAGGGTCTGGATGCCCCGGGGGGGGGTACGTGAAAAATTGGCTCGATGCCCGACAACGAGCACTGTCAAGAACCGACAGAGGCTGCTGTCGGGCAGGCGCCCATTTGTCTCGAGCGGACAACGTCCGCGGCGACACTGGCAGTGAGTCCGGTTCAGAAATGGGCAGGATCTGATGTCGGTCTTCGTCCCCATTCTTTCCGTACCCGCTTCGATCGTACCGATGGGAGTCTGGCACAGCGTCGCCCGGCGATGGGTTTTGGGCTTGGCGTCGGGCGCTCTGCCTGCGCGTCTCGGCCTCTGGCCAGAGAAGGCGCCGAAACGGGCTCGGCAGACGGGGGGGCCTGCGCCGCGCCAGCCTGCTGAAAAGCTGTCCTCCCCGCTTCCTCTTCTTAGGCGTGTTTGTGGGAGCGAAAGCACGCAGCGTCAGCAATGCCAGCTTGTGTTTCTCAAATGGTGACCCCCCAGGGCTGATGAATAGACCCGCGTGGCGTGACACTTGTGTAAGATCATGCGCGCCAGGAAGAGCTCGGGGGTGCCACCGCGCCGCGGATGAGGACAGACGACATGAACGACGCACCGCCTCCGAGGCGGAGCGCGCCCGCGGAGTGCAGCGCAGTGCACGTGTGAGTGTTGCGCACGTGCACTGCGGCTTCGTTCTTTCGCGGGCCCTGCGGCGCGCGCTGCCCTCTGCATTGGGCTTGTGAGCGTGCGCCGCCCGAGGCCCGAGGCTTCGTTTGCTCGTCCGGCCTGCCTTTTCCCGAATGGCCGCCGTCGCGGCGGCGGCGGTGGCGACGACGACCACGACAGAAGGGGGGGACGAGGACCGCCCGCCTTGGTCGGGTCGGACGAAAGAGGGGAAGAAAAGGGGGATTACGAAATCTGCTGCGTGCAGCTGGTTTCGGTCCCGCCGAGGGGCCTATTCCTCGACGCATGGTCGCCTTCGGCGCCAGGAGGCGCTAGGGAAAAATCAGCTACTCCATTACGTGAACTGGTTCGCGAACTCCCCCGTTGCTATCTCCCCCTTTCGTCCGGCCCGCCGTGCCAGTGGGCCAGCGAGCCAGCCGGCGCCTCCCTGGCTTTGGCCAGACATAAGCAACTCTCCGGTACGATCGAAGCGGGCATGGAATGTGTCGGCAAGAACACCGACAGCAGTTCTGCATCATGTTGAACATGACTCTCTGTGGGCGTCGCCGCGGACGTTGTCAGTTCAGTTCGATGCAACGAGCCCCCTGCCCAACACCAGCCACTGTCGGTTTCGGCAAACATTTCCAAGTGGACGTCGTGCCCATTTTTCCCATGCCACGTTCGGACGCGCCGAGCCTCGCTCTGCGCCTGGCTGGCTCGCCTTTTTGGCCTGGCTGCGGGGCGCCGCGGTGGACGCATGTCCTGCGGGAAATGGGCCCTGGCAATTTTTGTTCCGCTTTCGGGTCCCCCGCCCTCGGCGGGCCCCGAGGCAGCCGCAAAACGACCGAGCTGGTCCTGGCGACGGGAGCTCCGCTCGACTGCGAAACAAGGAAAAACTTGGGCGGCGGGGGGGGGCGACGGTGGCGGCGGCGACAGCTCTTGCCTCTGCCGCCCCTCCCTCCTGCCCCCTCCTCCCCCCCCCCCCGCAGTCCGTGGCCATTCTGGCCCGAACGCCCCGCTGCAGCGGAGGCGCTGCTGCGCCTGTCGCCCTCTCCCTGGCGGCCGGGCGTCGGCGCAAATCACCGGCGGCGCCGCCGTGTGTTTCCATTTGGCGGGCGCACCCCTTGCGATTCGCAAGATCAGGGGGATCAATGTTTTCAAATCACGCGCCCCGCTTGTTCTTGTTAACCACAAGCTGGCATTGCAGGCCCGCGCCGAAGGCCCCACACGGCGCTCCCCGAGCAGAACAAGCGATGGGAAAGGCACCGATGAACAAGAGAAAGAGGTGCAGCAGGATGGAAGCGCCTCCACGACATAATGGGCCCCCACCTCCTCTCTCCTCTGCCTGGAGGCGTCGAACCTCGAGGCGGGAGAGAGACGTGCTGCAGGGAGGGGCGAACGCGGCCTGGTGAGCACAGACCCGCCTGGCTTCCAGCCTGGAGGGAGGAGCCTGGCGAGCCCTGCCACCACCTCCTGCTCCTCCTCTTCCTTTTCCTCCTCCTCCTCCTCCTCCTCCTCCTCCTCCTCTTCTTCCTCTTCCTCTTCCTCATGCCTTCTCCTCCTCCTCCTCCTCCTCCTGCTCCCCCTTCCCCTCCTGCTCCTCCTCCTCATTCTCCTCCTCCCTATCCTCTTCTTCTTCTTCTTCTTCTTCTTATTCCTCCTCCTCCCTCCTTGTTCTCCATCCTCCTCCTGCCATTGCCACAAGGGCGCCTCAGCAGGCTGATGGGCGCCCAGCTTGGCCCCAGTGGCCTGGGTATCCACCGCGCCAGACAGGAGGGGCAAGAGGGCGCCCCGCCACGTGCGCACGCCTGTTGCGAGGCTCGAGGAGCACCTGCCCTCTGACTGGATGTGCATTCCGGAGGCAGCCGCGTTGGCATGCCGATCGGCAGTCCGCCTGACCTTTCTATTTGTTCCCACTGGGAGTCGCATTTGCCTGGGCGGTTATGACGTTGCGCACGTAGCACCCCTGCAGAGACGCCCGCTCCGATATCTCTCCCAGGCGCTGCATGACACCGTCGGCCCCAGACTGCAAGGCCTCCACCATGCTTCTGCACCGCTCGCGCTTGACCTTGCAGGGCCTCATCCGACGGGACGCCTGGTGGTCCAGGTGGCAGAACCGGCACGAGCCCTCGTCGATGCAGGAGCCCTTCTTCACGAAGTGGTGGCAAGGCCTGCACTGGCCGCTGTCGTGCAGCTCCTGGTTGTAGCACTGGCCGGGGGGCTCTTCCTGGGCGCCTCCCGGGAGAACCAAGAGATGCCGATACCGCCAGCTGCTCCCGCTCCCGGGGCGTGTTCTGACTAGAATTTCGAGGCGAGTCCAGCCGTGGCGACGAGGGCCTCCCATGAGGCCCCAAAAAACGGAAACGAGGGAAGTGTAGTCAGTGATCCGATGCCATGACTTTTTCAATGCGGAGTCCCTGGAAGTCCAGATCCCTTCCCCGAAGGTCAGCATTTCATCTCGAGTCGATATTTAACACGGTCTCGGGGCCCGGCGAGGGCCCCAGAGGCTGAAAGCGTGGCGAAACTTTTGCGTCGATTTCGTCTATGCGCTGGAAGTCCGGACGTCGGTACTGGGATGACCGCGGGGCTTACTACAGGGATGAGGGGGCTAACAATGGATGCTAAGGTGGGTTTAGTCTGGTGTGCGCCAACTGATGACCGACCGCCCCCGAAAATAAATCATTCCCCCACTTTCCCCCCTCATTTTTTATCCCGTGTCAATCGGATCCTGTTGTGGAGAAGGCGTGGAGGCCGAACTTGATATTCCCCAAGGAAAGTTGCGAATCGAAGTTGCTATCGTCTCGTGTTGACTAGCAACATCACTAAACACGCCGAGCATGGCATTGGTGGCCTCACCGTTTCAGCTTCCGCAAGCACGGGCGTGCGGCAGGGCTATGGGGTTCTCACCATATCAGTTGTCCCAAATCACAAACGTGCGGCAGGGCCACGGGGCTCTCACCTTCTCAACCGTTCCCGAGCCAGGAACGTGTGGCAGGGCCATGGGGACCGACTGGATTTTGAAGTGACATGCGTTTTTCGAGTGGGCAGAACATTGGAATTACTTTTTTTAGCGCATCCCTCACACGGTTCGCGGCCCCTCCTCCTCCTCCTCCTCCTCTTCTTCTCCTCCTTCCCCCCCCGCAACTGCCCAGGCCCGAGCTTCCCCGAACCCCGGGGATTCCACGCTTCCGAGCCTCTTCGAGGCACCGAGCTGCACCTCCCCCAGGGGCAACGATAGGGGGATAAGGCATAAGGGGACGCATCGGTCCCCAATCGCCCATTGACCGCAGAGAGTGAGTGGTTCGATAGCCCGAACCTGCCCAGGAACGCGCGGATTCACGATCGGGCGCCCATCGTCGATGCATCGGCGGTGTATCGCCAATTCCAGGTCGATGTTTCTTCCCCCCCTGTGAAGATGCAACTTCGAAAGAGGGGCGCGCTGCTTTCCGTTGTCGCCTCAAGCTCAAGGGCCCTGGTGAGCCAGAGCGGTTGCGGGTACAGGCGCAGATGAACGAGAGGCAAACAGCAAGCATGCAAACACTCTGGTTTTCATACTCGTTCTAAAATTCTGTTGCCTCGAGGCGATCAGGAAGCAACTGCCTGCAATCCTCCGAAATGAAACACCAGGGCGTCCCGCGGCAATCGACAGGACTGGAGCAAACGAAATGAGGCCTTAGACAGGCTGCAGCAATATGGAGCGCACATGCAAAGTACTAGCACAGCGCGGCAAGCCGGTAGGCTTTTCGATATGAAAAGAAATATGAAAGCAACTATGCGGGCTCACGTCATCTGTTCAAATCCTCAATGAGAAAGTGATCATAGAAATTGATTCCATTCTGTTGTCCAGGCACTCACAATCTCGGTCGAGTTGTCGTCGTTCTTGGGCGGTGTGTCTTGGTGATACATGATCCGTCCATCCATTGCCCTTCGCATTTGAGATCCATCCATCCTTTTGGTTCGCGCATCTGCGAGCATATACTTAGTGGGGCACCACGCTAAAGGAAGCTTTGACTTGGTAGCGGCAGCCACTTCCTCCACGACTTCATCTTCCAGCAGTTCTCGAAGTCCAATCAAATCCAAAACCAACCGTCGCTCGGCCGGAAGCTTGACAGCACCTTCCCGATGAACTGTGTCATCAAGAGAAGCACAATCTGTCACACATTGAATGGCACATAAGCTGGGATCTATCTGCTCGATGCTCATGTTGGGAAATAGAATGTTGAGAATCGATGCCCGCATGACTATCGCGGCTCCCATAGCGTCCACCGCACTCATGGTCTCCGCAGCAAAAGTACTCCTGCACACCCGTCTGATTGTAGCTGGCCTCCAGTCGACTAGCGCAGCCTTGCCCTCGCCGTTCTGAATGATCGCCTTCTCCGCCACGAACACCAAGAAGCCCGCCTGGCTCTTGGCCTTGAGCCGCTTCGGAGCTTCCGAAGCATACGCCGTACGAGCTCTCCGCATGCACCACCAGGCTGATCCGGTGACCTTGTCGTCTGGCTCGTCCACGTTGGCCCACGCAGCGTCGTGAAATACTAGGAAATGCAGAGCTCACCATTCAACTTCGGAGTCGTGATGGCGGTGTCCTTGTAGCGCTTGGCCTCTGACACGATGCGATTCGTCTCGATCAGGTCGGCAACGGTCGGAGAGTTCTGCACACGTTGAGCCATTGAAACTCCTGCTGCGAGATCGGGTCGAGTCTGAGTAGCTAGCCATCCCAAACTTCCAATCAAACTGCGGTTCTCTGCGGTCTCGATGTCGGTGGCTGGGCATCCAAGGTCTCGTTTACGATCCTTGCTCAGCTCAAGCGGTTCCAACTTCTCGGCGAACACACACTGAGACATCGAGATGGCTCCATCTGATCTTCTGGCAACGTCTTTTGCACAAAAAGTGAACTCGAGCACTTGCCATCCACCAAACGGAAACAAACCTTTGATGATCTTGTACGTAGTAACAGTGCTGGCGGCAATCAACAGGTCATCAACGTGCACACACAATGGCTTGCAGTGCCCCATCTGAAACATGTCCCACAAATAAAGCCGGATCCACCAAGTTTTGAACCAAATTGAATTCTTTCTTGTCCATGCTTGAGAGCTTAACCTTCAGCAATGCGTTCTTAAGAGTAGCCCACCACTGTCTCGGAGCTGTGGCCAAACCGAAAATGCCCTTGACTATCCGCAAGACTTGTCCTGGCTGAAGTCCGGGTAGGCCTTGAGGCGGCTGCTCCATGAAGAGTGGCTTGTCCCTTGGCTGCTCTTCGACCTGCATGAACGCAGACATAATGTCAGCACAGACTGGCTCCCAATCGTAGCGAGTGGCCATGATGAAGAAAAGCAGTGAACTGGTTCTCGTAACCGTAGGCGCATCTGTACGTAGAGCTCCGGTCTGAAGGTCTGGGTCGCGATGTCCTCCAGCACAAAGCCGAGCCTTGGCCTTGACCGGTGCGGGGTTGGCCTCCGTGCGGATGGTCACATTCTTGTCCCGAAATACGAACCTGGAGGGCAAGAAGCGGTTGCTGTCGTTCTCCCTTCGGGCTCGTTGCGATTCTTCAAGAGACAGCGCCTCGACGGAGCCAAACTTCTTCCATTCCTCCCAGTGCTCCGCGATGGCCTTCTGGTACAGCGGCTTGTGCTCTTCGGGTATGTCCTTCCAAGCGATCTCCTTGTCCTGCAGCTTTTTTCTTAGACGTTCGCTCTGAGCTCTTGCACCTCGAAGGATTACGGCGAAGGTGGAGTTGGTGACGGTGTCCTCGTCGCTGTCGTCCGCGATGCTGACGATGTAGGGCTGACCTGCTTGTCGAGCTGCTTCTGAACGTTGTCTGTTGACTCGAATGCACTGCGGAACGTCATCTAGCGGATTGTAAACTGCTCGGCGCCGTTGAAACTCCTCCTGGTTCCACTCCCCGTAGTTCGGAGGCGCCTGCTCTGGAAGTTCAGCGTCTGTTGGCGTTGGAGCGGCAGAGGATGGCGGTACCGGCGGGGGTTCCGGCGGGAGCTCCTCTGCGGGTGGAACCTCGATATCTCCTTGAACGTCTTCAGCTGGTTCTGCAGGCGGTTCTGCATCTTCAAGTTCCATTTCGCCTCCTTCCTCTTGCTCAGGTGGTGGTTGTTCTCCTCGTAGGTCTTCGCATTCCATATCCGCGGTGGTGTCGGTGTCTTGATGTAGTCTTCGAAGTTGGTCGAGTGCTTCGCCGTGTTGATCGTCAGTGCCTGGCCACCAAACTTCCTCCGTGGTAACTGGTCTAATGTGCTCTGGAGCCACCAACTTAGTGAAACCACCGTGCGAGATCCAATAGTTCTGGCCCTGCTTCCCGACAATCACTGCGGGTCCCAACCAAGTGCCCTTCTTGATGGAGCCTTTCTTGAGCTGGCGGCAATAGAAGCACAAATCGCCTTGCTCGAGTGGATGTGGTCGTACTCGGGTGCGTCCAAGTAGAGCCTTGCGCAGCGTGTTGTCGCTCTGCATCTCCATGAACGCCTTGCGAGCAGCTGTCCTCATCTTGAGCTGACGTTCCAGAGGCTGTAATTCAGCTCCTTCGTGTGCTGCGTCGTGGTGAGCTCCATCTACGAGGTCGGCTGGTAGTCGAGCACTCTTTCCGAAGACCCACTGCTCTGGACTGAAACCGCATTGTCGACGTAGAGCGTTCTTGGCTCCAGTGACGACGGAAGCGATGACGCGCATGTCGGACTCTCCTGAGGCAGCTGTGCGTGCGATGGTCCTTTCGGCCAACTCCTTCCACCAGCCTCCTAGACGTTCTGTGCGTCCGTGTTGCCAAGCTGCTTGCCCAGCCACGGGAACGACCACGCAATGGAACTTATCAAGCATGTCCTGAAATACTGAACCAAATCCACGTTCTAAGTCCACAACTGAACTGGCTGGTGGTCCTGCCCAACTAGTCCAAATCTGAGTGAACACCTTGACTAACACCTCCGGGTGATGGCTCTCAATCATTCCCACGACATGAAACGTAGTACCCAAGTCCACAACTGGTAAGAAATCCCAGGGCTTTCCATCAACATCTTTGATTGTGAAACAGTCCAACCCAATCTGCTCATTGAAATCGGCTGTGTGCGAAAGTCTGGCTGGCCTTGCAATCCTTTTGCGTACCTTGCTCATGCACGTAGCACACCGTAAAGACTTCGCCGCCTTCACAACCTCCGATCGACATCCTGACAATCTGAGAGACCTGGCGAGATCTTCGTTACTTGGATGACCCAAGTTCTGATGAAGTTGTC